TACCGTTTCAATGTATATGTTGTACACCATCTGACATGTGGTGATTAAAAAAAGCTGTTCTGTTTAAAATCAAACATACACTTTGACCTAACAATATTTTCTGATTAACATTTAATAGCTAAAATCAGAAATTTTGACCACCACAAACGATTTAATACAATTATCATCAATAACACACTCATAAATGTGTTTGTGATAATTTTTAGTAACTAACTAGTAATAATTATCGACGCTAATGCAAAGATAATCGAATGGAATCAAATTTTGCATATCTCTTTAGAAAATACATAATACAAATGATAATGTTGAACCATTTTTAATGTATTGATGTCACCAACGTAACATATTTGTGATTTTCTTTAGAAAATATTTAGTCGTGCAGTTCTGAACTACAATATTATATTGCGACTTGTTTTATCGCGAATTTAAGTCCTGGCTGGTCATATGGATATTTTTTGAGACCCAATGTTTCTTCTCCAAAGAAATCAATAAGTATTTACGTTATTTCCATCGCTTATAGCATAAGGATAACGTCTCCAAAACGGTTTTTGTCTGGGGTTAATTCTTCAGGTCTAAATCCCCTTTCCAATGTGACTGTACGCTCTTCTGAATATTACCACCATTCCTCTAGTCCAGACGCCGTTCTACACTTAACATGTGTGGCATTAGGTTTTTATACTGGTATATAATCCAATAAACAAACAACACGACCGGCATCTTGGTGGCAAATGTTGTATACGGCCGTAAAGGTAATCCTTTGCCGGGCTGTCACCGTTCGCACCTTATCTGTACAGGCACACCGGTCGACATGGGCGACATTAGTGTATTATTTGTACTGCCAACATCGCTGGCGTTTGTTTATGAATCACGTGTAACAACATTAAAATTTAAGAGAACACTGTAAAATTTCAAAAAATAATTATTATTTTCAATAGTTATTTATAAATTCTCTTATCCAATTAAGTTTAATTTTGTTTAATATGTATTCGACGTCTCGTTTTTCAGCTAATTTAAACAGTCAACCTATTGGTCAATTAAGAACCCTGTATTCATACAAGGCGTCGATTACATAAAAAAAAAGTGCAATAAAATAAAAACCTCGTTTGTAAACTCGTTTGCTAATAACCACAGGTATATATAATATTCTTAAATTGAGAGAAACTCCCAAATTTACATTCATAAAATAAAAACGGTATAAATAAATAAAAATCTCATTTATAAATCCAATGGTTGATTATGCGTGTCATAACAAGTCACCCGACAACAGCGGTGTTGTTGTTTTTACATACATAATGTATACATGGAAATAATATATCGGATTTTAATGAGACCGCACCGCCACCGCTTTAGGTTGCCGGCAATAACTTTAATAAAATACAAATATTATAAATTGCTAGCCAAGACGTTAACGTATACATTATATCCATATAAATACCTCAGTTTTGGTGTCTACTTGGCTGTGCATATATCACACGGGTTTTTTGTGAAACAAATGCATGTGCACCTGTTCAGTGCACGCTGCCGTTAAATCGTATGACATATATTGTTGTATAACAATAAACATAAAGCGTCAAGTACAAGTAACAACTGAAACGGTTGCTGTTATAGTTACAACAGTAATAACCGCAAACTCAGACGGAATTGGGAACACGAAAGATAATTACCTTCTCATTCAAATAAGACCCTTGACAGGTCGAGATTGGTACGAAGAAGTTAATTTAGCCACTATAATATTGAGAAGAGTACACGTTTTTCAATAACGCATCGAACCTTTAAAAATACTATTTCAAGATACACGATCCGTTGTTTTTTAATGTAATTTTTTCTTATGAAATTTTACGTTGAGCCCTTCATAAAATATAATCAATACAGTTTTATTCGAACTTTGAAATTTCACTCAAATACATTATTACTATTATTTATGTACCGCAGTCACGGTTTAATATGTTTTTTATTTTATAACACAAGAACTAGTTATTATTTTTTATTAATACCTTATAGGTATTTATGGTCTCCAACAATTTTGTACTAATCGTAAAAAGCACACGATCAATTTCTGCGCTTTGTGTACTTGAGCTAGTAAGTGCCGTGACTGATGTATTTGTGGTCAGAACAAACAAAAAAAATAAAGTTCATTAGACTTTCAAAGTGTTTGCATTGATATGATAAGTATTTCGAGCGTTGGATTTTAATATTTTAATGTTAGTAAATTGGACGACGGATGAATATGACAGCTACCATTTTGTGCTTGTTATTACTATTAATGTCCTTTTATGTAGTACACAACTAGGCATTTTTTTTTTTGTGTCGTTTAAACAATTTTTATACAGCCAAATTGACCGAGATCGTACGAAACTGCTGAATAAAGCAATACAAACAACGACGATTAAAAAACACGGTTTTTTTTAAACATATTTTCACGCTGTTTTTGTAATTCATAGTTTATTATACAGTCGAAAAAAACAACGGTATCGTTTAAGTCTATCTCAACCAGTAAACATGTAAACGCGCATAATGATCAATATTGTGTTGGCGCGAGTGTGTTATGACGGCGGCCATATTCGCAGGCCGCTGCTACAGACTGTGTCGTTCGTGATATCAAAATAATGTAATCAATTAATCACACTTTAACGGTGTCAAAAGCAAAACAATACACAATTCGCTGTAACGTAATGACGGAGGTTTTACATGAACATCGATTTTTATTTCCGATAATTTTCTCTCTCGACTGAACGGTTCGCAATGTTTATCAATTTGTTTTCGACGCGAAATGGACAAAATACAGTTCAGGTGTATTAATAGATTTTAAAATGCGTCAAATATGGTCGGCATGATGACATCAGTCTGCGGGTCACCACCCGCAATTGAACGGGTTGGGTGCGCGTATTTAGTAACGTAATTATTTTATCGGTTTGCTAACATTCAACAAACGATATTTGCGTGGAAAGAGAATTACGGTAATATAAGGTGACAATGATTTGTGCTGTTCATATTCAAATCTGTAATGTTTGTTGAAAATCGACATTGCAATTGGTGTATCAGCCAACAAAACAAATCCAATAATTTCATGTGCAATTGGTCAGACAAAAAAAAAACGCACCGCAGACATGTTTATAAATAATAATTACAAACAATTCTAAATATAGAACCATTTAGGATAGTGTCGTCGTCGTCGTTGAATAATTTTATAGATACTCCAACAATGCGATACTGCGTTTTTATGAAATTTTATAACTGTGCGAGTGTACTGATGGCAAGTTATGGTCGATTTCAAAACAATTGAAGCGGAAATATGATTCGGCGAAATTTCAATGGGGTCAGACAGTAACTGCGACACGACAAAATAATTAATTATGAGTCATAAACTTAATACCGCACAAAAAAGTTATTTCAGGAATACCATATTTTTAATAATTTACACGTTTCACTTTGAATTTCAATCCACCTTGTTATGATTACTACTGTTGCAAGTGTGTTTTAATAAAGACTCTCGATTTGCATAATTCGTTTTTATTTTAGCTAATGAACGCCCATTGGCATAAAATTCAATTGATATTACAAGATGAAAATATTGAATTAAATATTTAAATGCACATTTAAGGATGTGTTATTCTAACTTTATGATAATTATAATGAAAATATATTATACAATTTTTAACGCCAAAAAATGTAGTAGGTAATTAGCCGAAATAAGTTGTTGTAATCTATTTTTATATTTTCAATTGTATTTATTTTTATTATTCATATTATACTTTATTTACATAATAATAATAGAAAAACATTTTTCCTCGAAAAAAAAAAATTACATAAAAAAACAATTATTTTGTTGAATTTGCCAAAAATATTAAATGTTTGGTATAATATTTTCTAATAAATTAAAAAAAATATACTCTTAAACTATTAATTGTGACAAAAAAAAATATATATAATAATAAATAATTGTTGTTTTATTTATTTTTTATGTTCGTCAAAAATAAATATTGTCAAATAATTTTGGTTTTTGATAAAAAAAAAAAAAATGGATGTGTACAGTTATTACTCTCTCTAAAACAATTTATTTATTTTTTGCTAAATAAACTTACTAATACGCGGCGTTATACATATGAATGGTGACTGTGATGATCACATAATCAAAGTTAATAGCGATAATAAATAAAAAGAAAGCGTTACTGTCTCATCAGTCGTGTGGCCGCCGGAAACAGTCATTGCTATTTTTTTTTTTTTTATTTAAGAAGTGCAAGTACCGGAGTGTCCATAAAGTAAACCAGTAACGGCACTTGTCGTCAGCTTTGTTCCACGCCATCAGTAGCGCTAAATATTATGAAGTAAAAAGCGGTGGCGGCAATGAGTAATGTGATAGTCATAATGATGACGTCACCTTTTGGTGTTTATCGTATTTAACGAGGTCCCCGTGTATTTTGATGATAGAAACGCCTACTGTTATTTTTCTTTCTCAATTAAAATTGGATTTCTATGTAATGACGTTTAGGGTTTCAGCCGTTTGTTAGCAACTCGATTTACAACAGCCACAATCTGACATCCGTGAACATTGGTGTTGCTAAATGGCTCCATCGGTGGGAGTACTAGTATTGTTTATACCTACACATCGATTAATCCGACGGAGAAATTGCCGTCGGTACTTTTTCCAGTCGTCCGACTTAACGTACGACGACGACGACGGCAAGAGAGTTTTTTTTTTTTTTTAAAGGGTCTTGTATGTTCGTTGCCAACGGAGGCGTTCAATTTTGTTCTCCGTATGTGTTTTTAGAGAAACGCTAGTCTATTGTTGTTGAAGTATCCGACTAATTTATCCGTTCAGCCGGCAGACGACGCAGGGGCAGTGATGCGTCGCACGAGTCCGAATAACGAGTCTCGGCGGGGAGTCGAAACGTTTTTTACCCCAATTTGTCGTCGTACCGAAGTCAAAATAGTTTCGGAACGCTACACGGATATAATTAGTATCGTTTTGTTTGTGTTATTAATAACATGATCACGTGAAGTGCATTCGAGTATACCGAAGGCTGAAAAAACAAACAGAAATCAAGAATTGGCATTTTTACTCATCGTGTTCTGTGTGGAGCAATTAAAACGTAAATAAATAAAAACTCCATTGAAAGTGGAGACTAATTGGTCCGACAAAAAATGTCAAGAGTTCCGAACGTTTTTCAATCTGGACGGTTTTAATTATGTTCTTACTCAAACGTGCCCGGACAAGTGTCCGGGAAATTAAATTAACGAAGACGTTTTTAATTTTTACGACAACATTGGAAGAGAAATAAAGAGACCGTTTGTGTGTATAAAAATCCTTACGGTACAGGTACACGTTTTATGGCTTACAGTAGGTACACATCAAAACGAAACTGATGCGGAAAACGCATAAAACTAAAAATATTATGAGACCGACCGGAATAAAAATATATCCCACATCGTAATCCTCTAAAGACCCAATAAATTTTATTGCCATTGTATAATACATTTTTTATGCATACTTGACTGTACCAGCTCTTATTGTATTGTCCACAAATCCTAATCATATTATTTGAGTGTCCCATTAAATAGGAAAATGCCTTGTGTTATTTGGTCTAACTATTGATTTTAATTCAATGANTTATCTGGTCTAACTATTGATTTTAATTCAATGAACCGTCGAATCAGTGGTGTCGCCAGAGTTTTTTCTTGGAGGGGAATAAACATAAGAAATTTTTTTATTTTCCATAAGAGGGCCTGTCTCAATGTACGGGGCTCCTTAATCCGTCCCAGCGTTAAAATCGTTTTGTGAAAAATAATACCGATAGTAATTTTAATTTTCGCATAGAAATATTTGTTTACACGCTGATGTTGTAATTACTTCAATCAGCTATGGGTTTTTAAACTCATCCAGTTGATTTGTAATCAACGTGAGGTTTTTAATGGATTTTCAACGTCGGATTATTGTTCATTCAATCATCGATAAAATTTACAATTCGATTAATTCGTTTAAATCTTTATCGATTTAAGTTTACTGCCCAACTGTTCTTACTTTTATCGGTAATGAACAATATCCACGAACACGTTTACCATACACTCGACACACGACGGTATACTCGATTTAGGACGACGCACCGTTATCGTGTTGTTTGTTTAATGTTGTAATTATTAAATATGTTTAGACGCGTGTCTAGTAGAGCTTTTATTATTTTGTATCTGTCGTGTGTGATATGACAATGAATAATGGACTTGGTAAGTGCACACCGAGCGTGTGTTCTATCGATTATGACATTACGTCCAATGCATTAACTATTCTGAACAGTTAGATCCAAGTCCGTGGGTGTGCCCCTGTGCACTAAAAAGTCAAAATAAAATGAAGTGTGTGTTCGTACGTGAGCGATTAGTTGTTCGATTGATTCTTTGGCTTGTAGACAGCAAACGCGATAACTTCTAGTGTTTGTTCTCTATTTCATTTATTTTTTATAATGACATTTCTGTACATTTTTTTCACTGCAGTTAGTATTTTATGAAACCATAGTTGTTTTATAGCTGAGTTGACATGAAATTACGGCATTTGTTAATTATAACTCAACCTTTTAGCGTACCTGAAATGTCATTCTTGACACTACTGTCTCTTCGGCTGATTGGTTTTGCCGTAGACCAGATAGTGTTGTTGTTGTTATTGTTGATATATTAAATTTATTACCTTCAGTGTTGGCGGATTTCGCGTTATCGTCGTTTTTGTAATAAACAGTCAATGTCTGGTAAAAGAGGTTGTTTTTGAGATAGTTTAACTCGTAACAAACTGTGACGTAATTACACAAGTTAATAAAGTAGTACGGCTTAAGTTTTTCAATATAGTTGAAGTGGTAGTCCCGTTCAAATTCTATTAGAGCGCGTTATTGTTATTATGCGCCAATCGAAACTTTATCAATCAATGAACCTTTTGTCTTACAATGTATCACTTAATTCTATTTTATTAAGAAAATTAATTTATTGATTCTCTCCAGGTTTTTCATATTTTAAATTTGTTTTTATGTTTCTATTTAATCGGAACACAAAGAAATAGATGAGTTTCTATTTATAACTTTTGTGAAATTTATCGATTTTTAAAGGAGAACACTGTCGTTTTTTGTGTCGATAACAGGTGTTTAGTACTGTACTTCTAACAATAAATACAATAGTATTGCATGAAATCAATAGTTTTTATATTATCTTCGAATATTAAATGTAACACACATTGGTCCTCTGCACAGACAATTGTATTATTTTACTTATCGCATTAGTAAAGTCGTAATAAATGTTGTGTAGGAGACTAAAATTATAAATAAATATTATTTAATTGATAATGGTCATGAAAACTAAGTAAACATTGTCTACTGATATCCAAATCGTCGCACGCATAAAGTTAGTTTATCTTTATTATAAAAATAATTCTCGAATAAAATAAAAATTATACTGAGTTTATATAGTTAAACAAATATTACTTAATTAAGAAATCAATTGAATACTCCAATGAACGATTCACATTGTACAATTTAATTTCTAGTTCATAATAACAGAATATTTTATTTAATATTCCATTATCATGATCCTTTGTAAGTACCTTAAGTTATTCACTATGAAAGTTATATAAATTTTACATTTGAATACTGTTATTATTTATCATTATTTGCACTTTAAATTTAAAAATACTTCCTTTGATTTCTTTTAATATAAAATAAAAAATCTCGTCTCTTCAATGATATTTCGATTCTAGATGTATTCTTTTAATTCATTTTATATGTTTCCTTTTTATATGCCATAAATCTATTTTTATATAATACTCTCGATACGTTATTATATTGATTGATTATTTTGTTAATACTTGATTATGTACTCTGTCCAATGTTTAATTGTTTTGTTTGGGGCTAAAGTTCACAAATGCCAGTAAAGAAATTTAGGCTAGTAAAAAAAAAAAAAAAACTAGTTATCAAACGACAGTTATGGCTATGTCACCTATAGTGGTTTATCTGGAAAAATGATTATTTTTTTGGATTGTTTATACATCAAAAAGAATACAGTAAAATTTATTTATTATTTTCACTGGATACGTTTTTAAATACCATTTAGCTATTTATTTTAGTCTATTGTTGTAACAATAACATTTTGCTATACTGCTCGTACAATGTTAAACTAACATTTCCTGTGTGTGGTCTATTGTTCGTGCAATGCATTATAGTTTTCAGGCTATGTCGATGAATAATTATTCAACAAAATGACCCGAAATTATAATTAATTAAAATTGACCACAGTTACAGTTTTTTTTCTGCACGCGATTTAATACAGCTGTTTTATACATTGACTACGTTCTGGACCGTAAAATGTTATTATGACTTATAAAATCACCTCTTTGAAAGTAAGTCATTGTAGTTTTCTACTTGAAGACTGTTCGACCGGAACGTGATTATATTTTCAATACACATTCACTGTAGTTGTCGTCGTCACCCTACAGAATGTTAACGATTCCATACATATATAGTTATCCCAAACGACTGTGCAAGCGCATCCGACAAACGATGAGTTCTTAGCCCCACCAGGTACTGGCTCTCTTGACAGTAATAAATAACAATAATCAGCGCGTTTTTCGTGTCATTGATATTACTACTAATTCTTGTATGCGTTTTCTTAGCGTATCAAATGAAATTTTTAATTTCATACAGACGTGTACATGATTGATTGGTACATGCGAAGTACTGCCAAAAAAAACTGCAACCTTGTAGCCATGCAAAAACAACAATAAAGTTATAATTCGTGATGTTCGGCGCCTTTGTACACACGGAACGACCGTCCAATAAAAATGTCATCGTGCACCGTTTTTCCAAACATATTCGTTGAAATCTTATAGTCGACACATAATACTGCTGTCATTTTTAACGTGTGTCGTTCGACGTTGCCAGGAAAAATTCATTGCGCAGATATAAACTGAGCCGTCAAACAGTCGCCAAATAAAGAATGAAACCGTATACGAGACATATAATATTTCACCTCAACTTTTCGAGTGTTATATCACATTATGTCAGTAGGTGTATTCACTCGAACTGAGTGTTTGTCGTTGTTGAATGAAAATTCTAGATAATATATTTTAACAGGTACCATGTTACCCCCGACGACCTCTATTTTGGCTAAAAAAATTTATAATAGAAAAAATAAAAGAAGCGATTAATATTCAATTAAGTTCACCACCAGTCGACCGGATACGGTTGAGTAGTTACAACACATTCAGTGCACTGGCATAATATTATTATTAAACGTCTACGCATATATTAATATCAATTATAATTATATTGAGTTGTTGTCTAGTCGTTGATTTTCTTATCAGGTTATTGCGTTTATTTGCAATTGTTAGCACGATAAAAATATGTATAGAAATCGAATATGAATGTAAATGATTATAATTTATAATTTTATAATGTTTTGTCATTTTGCAATCGTTCGTTCTCTGATAAATTCGAGTTACAAAAAAAAATTAGAGATATTATTTGTTTTATGAATCACTCCGCATAAACATTTACAACGATCCCAAAAATTTTAATGTGATAAAACATCGGCACTACGTTATGGTCGGGCTGCCAAACAAAAAAAAAAAAGAGGCGGATGCCCAATGGATTCCATTAGAAAAAATGAATATATTTCTAGATTATGAGCGTGAAATCGTTTGTTGTCGGTTCGGGAGCGGAGACCTGCAACAAAGATTTGGCAGTCCGCCACACTTTGGCTAGTGCACAGTTTTAATTCTCCTATTAAGACGTAATATTAATGTCCGAAAAATCTCGAACGATTATCAGACGGAGTAGCAGAAATACCGCGACCGATTTAAAAACCACTTTTTGTGGCCTATTGCTGGTAATGGCCTACGGTTTAGTATCAAGCGCACTACTATTCGGCAACACGAAAAAAAGACATCAATAACACATATTGAGCGTTGCGCGGTTTGTTTTAATAAGGAGGTCGAAAATGTATTTTTATTGTTGCCCATGTCGTTGACTGAGGTTGTAACAATGTATCGTTTGACAATCGCGCGCTCTTTATAAGTCACCATTACAACACATCGATGGGCAGCAATAATACATTGTGTTGTGCGGTGGGGTTTTGCTGAAAACGACCGAGTGTCGGACAAAGAGCGGAAAATCGATTTGGGAAAAGTCGACGAGTGCTGTACAGCTGCCTTGCCGCCTTCTCCGTCAAACTTCTCCGATGATAATTTAACCACTGTACCGTGTATAACGCCACCTAATGCCTTCTTGGTGTAGGCGCTAATACGATTGAAGCTTGTTTGACTTTTCTCGCTATCGTTGCTGCTGTCGTTGTCGGGTCACTCGCCTTTGTAAACGTTCACTCCGCCGACAGTAGTTGTATTGCTTGGACTAATGAGCTGGTCGGCCTTTCGGAAAAGGGAGGATTAATTGCGCGGATCCCGACGTAAAGAGAACGCAGCCCCTAGTGTTTTAATATCATAACTGTAATAATTGCGATAAACATAAAAAAGTTTATTTGTTTTGATTAATTAATTTTATTTTCGTTCGACGTCATCACCGGACCGACAGACGCATTCGTATACTGTATTCTTTAGATAATCCATCAGAATCGTATCAATTGTTTAGTTTTCGTGGATTTGTTAAATTAATTGACCTATTTCATTGTGTTATGATAACCAATTATTATAAATGTAGTACTTCCTCTTAATAATTGTTCACTATTTTTTTACTTGTGATTTTCAGACATTGTAGTAGCACCTCCTCCGACGATTTTGAACCACGGACAAGTCTCTCCTCTTCTCCCTACTACTCCAGTGAGGAAGAAGTCCAGAAAGGATGTGCCTTTATCATCGTCCCCGGGCCTTTTGGTGAGTTCTTCGTCGGGCTCGCCGGCGGCCCAGCAAGCCGAGAGCGACGGAGGGCACTCGTCGGACGGTTGCGGAGACCGGAAACGGAAGAAAGCCCGAACGACGTTCACCGGTCGTCAGATATTTGAGTTGGAACGACAGTTCGAACTGAAAAAGTACCTTTCGTCGTCCGAACGGTCAGAAATGGCTAAACTGTTGGGTGTCACCGAAACACAGGTAAGCAACCCTATTATTTCTGCCCTTTAGTCCAGTTTTCAGAATATTAATTATAATTAAGTCTTGTAGTTTACCATTTCTAGATTTCCTTAAAACAGACATTAGGTTTTAATGTATTAAAATCACTAAACACGAATAATATCAAAGCGAGCACAAATGTATTAATCAATAAATTATTGATGATAATAAATCATTACACTATTTATTGTTCTAAATATTGTTTAACTGGTAAATATATTTTGTAAACATTTAGATATTATTTGATTAGTTTTCGGACGTGAATTATTAAAGAAATTTTCATTATATTAGTAAATCACACGGTTTCAAATTGATTTCACTCTATTTATCGTATTTTTAACAGATTTTTTTGTTTTGGTTATTTTTCTTTCATTCGGATACTAAAGAATAACATCCAAAACAAACGTTTCATTTCAAACTCGCATTTGGCTTAGATCCAGTCAGTATAGAAAAAGTCATAAAGTAATGTTATTGCATTTTAAGTTTTTTTATTATTGTGCACTAACGGTATTTTTATTTGACGCTTATTCATTGATGATTATTTTATTAAGTATACTAATTTTTCAACAAGAAAAGCTTATATTATTATGTTTACGGTTAAACTGTTTTAATCAAAATTAATTTATATTTCCGAGAAACGCCCTGCAGGCATTTGCATTGTAATATACTCTTATCTGAATATTGTTGTTTAATAATTTGATGGATTCTAAAACCTTTTGTTGTCTGAATGACTTTTGTTTTGTTTAGTTGTTCGTTTATAAAAATGTTGTTTACTCAATTTTAATGTTGTACGTGTTTTTTTATTAACTAGAGAATTACCATGGCAAAGATATTGACCGTTTTTATAGGTTATTCGTATACAAATATAATTCGACTATAAATGTAAATTATGCTCAATGAAAATTAGTAAAAAGATGTTATTAAGTTTTGTTCTTCGAACTTAATAAGCTATTTAAGCGAGAAGAACACGAGAAGTATTAATTAAAATAATATAATACAATACGTTTATGATCTCAGAGTAGAGCGTAGGCAACTATCTCACTATCTCAAAATTAATTCCTTCAGCTTGAGTGAAACAATAAATTGTTGTTATTTATTTTTGTATTATTTTATTTTATTGTATGTACCGAATTATATTTTGATAAAACGGCAAGTATGTAATGTTTTAAGTACTAGTAGAGTTATACAAACTTAAGTTACTCAGGCAACTAATTTAAATCAGATATAACACGCGACATTTCGGTTTAAACATTTCAGACCCATCTTAGGGGCGGTGTATTTCTCGAACTTCCGTGTTCTGATTGAATACGTAGAGTCGGTAAACTTTGTTTCAAATTAATAGTCGTGTAGCATTGTTTGTACCGCACGTGCTCTTGATCTAACTGTATACAGGAGTTAACAACGCCCTAACTTGGTTTTTTTATTTTTGATTCCGTGCAAATTATTCAGAAATTTTGTCGATGACCTCTACCATTATTAGTTTCAATAACGACCCCTATAATTTTGTCGAAGATTCAGTGGATGAGTGTAACCGTAAGTGAAAGAAACACCTTTATAATGACTTCCGACCCGATCGAATTCGCGATAAGTGTCCTCTAAACGATGATCGTTTCTATCTTGACCGGTATGAGTAAGAACAAATTTTATGTTGTTAAAAAAAAAAAACTGATGGTTTATCTTAAAAAGCCTCTGAGCACACGTCAGTGTGTAACGAATAACAACGACCGAAACCGTTTAAACGGTCGGTAGCTAGTCGTTAACGTAAACGAGTGTGCTTTACTGTATTTCACTAGTGTTGAATATATTAAAATAGACAAAGCTGTGGTAGGCTCACAGCGCAGCTAAAACGTTAAGGAGACTGTTCGAATTTCAAAAAAATATGTGTTTTAAAATGGCTGCTGCTGCTGTTGGTGGAACTCCACCACAGTATGACAATTTTGATTCTCGTGTTTAGTTTGGCAGTCTTGCAGTGACAGTTGCTGTTCTCTCTAAGGTATTGCCCCGGAGTAAAATAATATCGGTTATCTTAAGCAAGAGTGCAAAACTTTATAATTATAGCGTTAAACAACTCAGCTCTGCACTCTCTTCAAAACTTTCTAACTACTTGATAGTTTTTCATTGTGATGCTCAACAACGCTTGTGATTATTTATGTCCAAGTTTATTAAATGTAACGTCGTTGGTTTAGTATTTCAAAACAATTTTGTATGATAATTATAATTAAACCAGAAGCAATACATCTATATTGATTGTGCCATTGCCTAATGGGATATAAGTAATAACGATAAATTATCCCGTGAAGAAGTATCTTTAGTTGAAATTAAACATTAGATTCTAGAAAAAAAAACAATGTTATTAACTATTAATAATTTGCAAAAGACTCGGTTTATGTAGTAATATTAAGTTAATCGCAAATTAAGAGTTAAAGAACATTATATAAATTAAATATATTTTTGTGTCGGATAGCGATTTACAATTACAGAAGACGACCCGTTTTAATTACACTATTGTAATGAACGTATAGTGTTCCATTTGCAGAGTATAATGCAGTTGATATGTTTTATGAATGAACCTGCAGAGTTGTTTTAATAAAATTATTCAGTGATATAATTTTCTATATTGTACATAGCTGCCAGCTGTTAAGTAAATTATTTTATATAAATCCGCTTCAGTGAACGACTAATGAGACGCTACAAGCTCGCGCCACCGCTTCTTTCCTACATAATAGTATTGTTGCTACATAATTAAACTAATTTATACAAAATACTGTGTAATAATATAGTAGTATAATTATGAAAATAAACGCTTTACTGTTTTGACATTTGCCATAGACTCTATTATGGCTATTATGTCGGTACGTTTTGTATCGCATGAGCGATTTACTAACTATGTACTAATCTGGTGGTAAACTATACACTTGATGTGTCCTGTTTATTTTTTTATAGAGTCCGATTAATCGACGGTCCGATAATATTTCAAGCTGTTTTAGATCGTCGTTCCAGTTAGTTTCCACAAACGACTGTGGGAAATCGTTTTTTTATCGCTTGAATGAATGGACAGCGGACTTTGTACTTTTTCTGAGTGGCATTTCCAAGTCGACACTTGTTGAACGAAACTACGCGTCGTTGCAGTGTTTTAATTATAGTTTCTAAGTTAATTAATGCACGGCCATTCCGATTGTTCGTGTGCTACCATAAAAAATAAAAAAAAACAATTTTAATTAAAACTGAACGGCTTACGTTCGGTGACCATATAGCGCACACAATGATAATTGTCTTTGTACTAATTTGTGAAGTTACAGTCTGTCTATTGTGTAAATTATCACGCGAAAATCGACTAAAAAGTAAAAACTATTGCCTAATCATTTAGTTCGAGTATTTTTAGACAACGTTATTGTTATTCAGCAACATTAATACAATTCGTTTGAGACTTTATAATGATATGTTAGTTACGCGCGAGTGCCTCAGAGTCGACCGAAAATTCACAAATTGTTAACCGCTTATGGAGTCTTGGGGTTTTTTCGATTCTATTGCGTAGCTCTAAACAAGTCAAACACCACATAGACAACAAAACCTTAAAAAAAAAAAAAAAAACAAATAATTAATTAATTTACAAATCAATAATTGGCGGACTCGTAAAAATAATTATTATCGTTACAAGTCCGCCGTTGATGATAATCTGTGTGAATTTCCTTCCAAAAAATTCGTATACATCAGTGTAACAGCATTGAAAAAAAAAAAACGTTCTAAGAACCCATGTCTATTATTTGGCTTTTATTTTCTTTACCGTAATCAACCTCATGGAGGTTATGATTGTTATTTTTGGCACGTATCCTTACGCAAAACGGGTAAACATTTTCAGTAAACAACAAACGGCAACGCGCATCCGTATGCATTAATATATCATACACTACCTTTAGTATTATATACCTGTTGCTAAACCTCCTGCGTGTATAGTCTCTCATCCGATTGCTCGACAAAAAATACTTAAAATAATAATGATCATACATTAAAACGTGATGTCACGATTCACGGCTCCCGAAAACTTTTACACGCACACTTGTACAAAAAGTAACAGCGGCCTGTACCTAAAATTAAAACGGAATAAAAAATGCCAGCAAGTATATGTAACGCTTCCTCTACTGTTCAAGAATAAAACTCTATCTATGGGACAATTGTTTCCTTTTTTTTAAAAGTTAATGTTTATACAAACATTAGCGGGAGAATGGACAGAGGAAAAAAAAATTAACCACAAATCGAAATGACGCACATTAGCTAAGCAATGAAAATAAAAACAAAAGAATCCGCTCGTCTGTGAATATGTTGTATGTTTTGGACCTTTATTTTACAAANTATGTTGTAGGTTTTGGACCTTTATTTTACAAACAATGTTTTTCGCGATTTAGTGTAGAAATTAGCTTAGTTATCAAATGCAATAAATGGTAGCTCTAAATAATTTTTACTACTCATTTGACGATTCCTCCCTCCCTGGGCTGGTTGGTAAATCAATAACTTTTGACACGGGCAAACGCCCGTTAATAGTAAAAATTGTTGCCGTTGTTCGTATTTATACCGACGATAGTCATTAACGTTGAAATAATAAATATTGTGTAACAAAAGATATTGTTGCCCGCAGATTTCCACCTACACCCTTCCATCACAAACCCACCGTTTCCACGGTGTTTTAATATTAAAATATCGGTTGAGCGAAAATGGCCGTCGATTGAAGTGCAATAACCATAAACTCAAGTGGTGTACACTGTGCGTTTGCGTTCAAGTACCGTAGTACATAAGTGTGCTTATTGCATTTTAATTCGCAAAATTTTATTGCATTGCAAACAAGTCAGCAATTATATCCCGCATAAATGTTTAAAAAATAAATAAACACTTGGAATCAATATGCGCACTCCGATTTTCAACTGCTGTGTTGTTTGGACGGGACAATAACGCGAAAAAACTAATTGTGAATACATTTCCAATAACGA